GTTAAATTTTGCTATTAATCCGCGGATCACATGCGTGCCGAACCGTGGGGCTTGGTCCGTACGAATCACGGATCAACTACGATCCGTTTAACCACTAGTATCAGAATTAGTTTGATTCTTTGTTTAAAAGATTGTTTCTCTCAATACATCAACGTTTTTACTGTCACTGCAATATGTGAACTTTTAAAACAGCTTGCAGTAAGATAAAGCCTGCAATCAGTGAGAATACATCCAGCGGAAAGAAACAGTGATGCGGTGGAGAGGAAGGAAATGGGGTTGTGTAGTATGAGGTGGTACGATGACAGCAGCATGTGAGGAGGATCTGGCTGATGGCAGGAAGCCGTGGGCAATGAGACACAGAGAAAGAGCCATGGTCGGTTCCCCTCATCAGGAATTTGGCAGCCAGAGGAGGGCTGTGTGTCCTTGCCCATCAGGCACCGCTCAGAGAGAGGGGGGCCCTGCCAGTCAGTCTATCAATCACACCGCTCCAAAAAACCTGGCCAATCTGTGGCCCGTCTGCCACACTGGCTGCACATACAACAAAGCAGTCTGTCCACCCAACTCGCCAGTATGGGGTTGTAATATGAGCCACTGCGAAATCATGGAGCTTTTAGTGGAGGGAAGCAAGATTATGTTCTGAGAAATGCAAAGCGAGCGACACGCAAATACACGCCCAACACGCTGAAATACTTAAGAGGAATTGAGACGCAGAGAACTATATTTGCAAATCAAATGGGAGTCTTTAGAGACACTCGTTGGATGAACGCCCATGCAGAACTGAACACACATACGCTCACATGCCAAGACTAGATTTGGGAACAGTGCTCCACTGAAGATTCAGTCACACCCACAGTCACGTACACAAAATCTGCTCTTCTATTGTGAAAGAATAGTTGTTCCGCAGCCAATGCATCATATGCTGCTCAGCTAAAAGTAGTGTTGCAACACTTAGAACACACGAAGCTGACACTTGTTATTTTTTGTCCTTTTAGACTTATATACTTACTAATTTTTATACTTTCATTCTGAACCAAAATAAAGAAACTCAAGGTCACAGCTCACTTCCTGTTACCCATGTGGCCTGATTTGTTTGCACTACTTGTTTATTGTGTTACCAAAGTCAGTTCTTCAGGAAATGGATTTGAACCTAGACCACTTTTTTCGGCAACAATGAAATGTTTATAGCATGCATGCATGTTTATGTGCGCTGCATTGTGGGCATTGACACTCTAGACGCACTAGATCTCACCTAAATATAGATGTTTTTGATCATATTTAGATATATTTTAATTGTATTAATTTAAGAGTTAAACGTTTAATAATAAATATAAAGTACTTTATTATATAAATTATTTACTTTATATTTTTATAAAAAAAAGTAATAATAATGTTTAATTGTTTATTAATATAAATATTTAAATATATTTTATTGTAGTATGTTTATAAAAACACGTTTATATGTTATATTTATGTATTTTAAAATACTTAAACTATATTTTTAATTTATTTCAACATTTTTAGTAACATAAATAATTGTTTATTAATATAAATATGTAAATGTTTTACTATATTTAAACGTTTTATGTTTATAAAAACATGTTTATAACACATGTTTATATAAATATGTTTTATATATTTTAATATATTTAAAATATATTTTTAATGTAATCATTTGAAAATAATTCTTATATTTTAAAATAATTTTATAATTTTAATTTATAAAATATATTTTTCAAAAATATTCCAAATATATTAAATGTTTTAATAATAATATTAAATTAATATTAATAATTAAATTGAATTAATATTATAGTTTTAATAATAATAATTTAAATAATAAATACTGTAAATGTTTATTCATATATTATGTTTTTGGATCATTGTATGCATGTTCATATATTTACTTAACTTTATTTTTTTTTTTGCATTTTTGTATTTACTTTGCCCTGGTGTGGTGTATATTGTGTATGTTTCTGCTTGTAGATATGGACATTTTCCTACCACAGGGGCCCTTTTCTAGGTTGACATTGGGATTAGCATAGGACCGTCCACCTGGAATACTTGTGTACAGAGGATACAGAGAGACCAGTTCAGGACAAAAACACAATACCAGGCAGGAAATGAACAGCGTCCACTGATAACTCCTCTCTGCTTCTACCTGTCCCTCCATCAGCAGCAATCCGCCCTCTGCCTTCGCATTGTGATGCAAATCAAGTCCCTGGTTGGAGAGCTGATAAGGAGGTCTCTCATTTCAGTGCGCTTTGTTTCCCAGACAGAGGAGAGCTTAGCGGAGGGGACACAGAGAGGGCCTCCGGGCTGACATAAGAACCCATCCCATTGTGCACCCTGGAGAAGTGTTGACTGATATTTGGGAAGAGGTGTTAGAGGGAGGGAAAGCGACCGGGGTTTTTACGGCAGGAGCCGTCTCGGGTTGTTGAGAGATCCTGATGGATTTTTGTCCCTCTCCCCCTCCAATTCTTTTTACTCTCAGCTACTCAGACGGTGTCAATCAGTAGCCATTTCTTCACGCCACATGCAGTTTGCGGTCCTTTTCAGGCGCTTGTCATTACCAGCATTTTGCCAGTATTGCTATATAAACAAATGAGTTCACGCTAGGTTCAGTGGAGAATATTGATCCAGCTGTGCAACATTTAGTTCAAAGCGTATTCAAAACACATATGTGTTGTGATAGCATACATGTTTGGGTTTTATACAAGAATTATTTAATGTGACCTATTATGTTTTGATAGCCTTTTTGCGATAGTTCTTCAGTTATTTTGATATTAATTTGCTAGTTAACAAATCATCTTAAAGCAAATCATGAAATAATTAAATTAGGGAAGCATATATCAGCTAATAATCGGTAACGGCTGAGCAATTATACGCACTATTGGGCATCCGAAAACAGCCATTGATCAGGGCTGATTAAATCCTGTTAATCAAAACATTGAGTGATTTTCAGAATTCAGTTAATGAGAGTTAAGAACATCCAAAAAGTTAAGAAATCTTAATTTAATGTTCAGTATTCTGTTCATTTGAGTAATGTTACTTTGAAACATGGAAAACATGTTAATATGGAGAGAGTAAAAGTTATTTACATTTCTTTCAGAATTATATAATGAATTATCATTCATTTGAAACAAGGTAAAAAGGAGAACCACCAAACTATCGGCAGATATCAGTCTAAATAATCAGATATCGGTATTGGCACAGAAAATCTGTATCGGTTCATCTCTAAACTAAACTGGAACCTGTTCTGATAACATTCCTCTTTCGTACTTCAAAGTACACCAGTAAAAAAATAACTAACTTGACATTGCACAACAGTTGGGAAACAAATGTCATGCATGTTGCTAGTTCAAATGCAGTTAGCCTTTTTACACATCATATACTCAGAAAGCTTCCATTTCTCACTCTCGATTGAAGAATAAGCGATTTGTTTGTAACCATGGCCATGAACAGAAGGCCCTACTGTATTTGAGCTCGACCTTAAATGGGACTATTTGCCTCTCCTCATTCACCCCTCCACCCTCGTCCATTTTTCTTTCTGTTTTCTATCAAATTCCTCTTTTTATGCCCCCTTCTTTTGAAGTCTCCAAACTCTTGTAAAAGGCCAGGCTGGTGGTTTTTGCTGAACCCTGTGGTGGGACAGCGAGGGAGGGGTTGTAGGTTAAGTTTAGGCTTTCCATTGAAGGTGGCTGAAGAAGGTGGGGCAATAAAAGTTAGAAGTTTAGAGCCTCTCTGTTTTTTTTTTTTACTAGCTCAGGCTACAGCTGGTGGTGTGAATGGCTGCCCGAGGTGTCTGAGTCTTAATAAAGATCCCGCCAGCCGGGCTGGGGCCTCCAGTCCAGCCATGAGACCACCTTTATAGGCCTAGCTTACGAGCAGGGGCCTCTATTAAAACCTAGTAGGACTGCACTGAGGAATTTAGGACTGGGAAACAAGAGAAAAATAGGGTTTGTGTGTCAAAGAATGGCCAAAGTGAAGGCTGGGAGGTTGAATTTTGAGCGACCAAGGGTAAAAGTTGACTTTGGCATGTGAAAATGTGAAATCAAATGTCTTTTAGGGTTTAATCTTTTATGATATCTCAAATTCATGAATAGGGGTGTAACAATACACTCAAGTCTCAAATTGGTTCGTTACGTGATACTGATCTCACGATATGAAACTCTCACAATACTATAAACAAAACACCAAAATAGAGTTAAAATGGTCCATTGTTTAAATTATTGCTTTTAAGACATGATAAAAAGTTAACAAAAAATTAGTTTTATTTTTAATGTATTAATAATAATTTATAAACATGAAAGCTCAAGTATGTGACCTCCTAGATTTACCATATTTGATGCTAAATTAATTCTGTCTAAACTTAGTTTTTGGGTGAACTGTAGATGATACATGTTGTCACAGTTCACGATATATATTGTAATTCTTGACTTCAGAATTAGTGAGACATGAGACACTCGTCCCGCATGCTAGACACCAAACGCAGGGTGGAGTTTTCCCCCCAGGCTGTGACACAGATGAGCTACCTGTCTTATCAGCTCCACTTATCTGTCTGCTAGTGTTAAACTGTTTGTGTTTTCTTTTCTTTCTAGTGTCAGTCACTGCAGCCAAATCCCCTAAAATACTGTCCCCCTAAGGACAGGGTGGGCGGAGCTAGAGGGAGATGAATTCAACAGACACGTTAACTAGACTTTTACTTAGTTGGCTGATGCCTCGCATTCAAAAACAGATTAAAAAGCAACGATAGGTAGCGTCTTGTGTGTTTCTGCTCGAGGGCATCATGAAAAAGGTTTAGCGAGGAATCATGATGGTTTTTAAAGCCCTCGTGGGTCTTTGAAATTGGATATGGTTTAAAAGGTTCACGGGGGAATCTTTTCTTCTCTCCATGTGGTGTTTAATATCTCCCTCTCATTAAATCCTCCCGTGTTGTGTAAATAGTGTGAAGTGATGTGATTAGACGAAGCGTCTGATGTTTTCTTTTCTCTCCTCTTTAGCGGTGGAGACCCAGAGCACCAGTTCAGAGGAGATGGTGCCCAGCTCCCCTTCTCCACCACCTCCACCGCGTGTTTACAAGCCCTGCTTCGTCTGCCAGGACAAGTCTTCCGGGTACCACTATGGTGTCAGTTCTTGCGAGGGCTGCAAGGTAAACAGCAGAGCTCCCATCGCCTGTGGCCTGACGAATCTCATGTTTTTCATGAGTCTGTTACACAATTTGTCTTGACGTTTGGCAAAAATGTGAAAAATACAGTGAGAGACATGGAGGTTTAGCTCTCGCGTGTTAAAAAAAAACTTGAATATATTAAGAACTTTTGCTCCTGTCAACACCAAGAAACTGAGACTGACAGCATAACTTGTAGTGCAGGGAGCAAAAATGTTTATGAAAACATACAAAATAATATTAATAAAATTACAAAAAAAAGATTCTTCATCTAAGTAAGGGGAAGTTCACAGAAATAATTTTAAAAAAGTTTCTCAATATCCATTTTTGTTAAACAAACAACTTCTGACTTAACTGAGCATCTTAAAAATGTGACCTTCATGGCACAAAATGTTGAAAAAACCTGTCTAGCACACGTTTACATACAAAAACATTTAATGGACACAATAACATGTTCTGTGTGAACAGGTCTAGTGAGTTTCATTAACCCATTTGTAAGCTTTTTGCCGCAAGTAATAATAGAATTTGTCACAATAACAATATTTCGACTAATTCAGTTAATGTTTGGTCACAGGTAAAAGGGCCATCACTTTGAACATGACTTATCACATTTTTGACTATCCCTTTATATAACACTAACAAAATACTTAGCAAAAAACCGTTTTGGATCAGAACTTTTGAACAATATACTGACAGCTTGTGTAAGAGAAATGATAGGAGGGGGACGGTGGTTGACCTAGTCTTTAGCTGACCTACTCGCTCTCTCTTGAATGTCTGTTGCAGGGTTTCTTCCGTCGCAGTATTCAGGAAAAGGATACAGTTGCGCAGTATCAGCTACACGAGACACCAAGTAATGTGGACAGTATGTTAAAGGGATAGTTTACCCAGAAATGACAATTCTGGTATCATTTATTCACCCTACAGTTGTTTCAAACCTGTTTAAATTTCTTTCTTCTGTTGAACACAAAAGATGTTATTTTGAAGAATGCTGGTAACCAAACATCTGACTGAACACTTCATTTTTGCGTGAATTGTCCCTTTAAAGCAATGAAAGGCAATGCAATGGAATTTTAGTATGTTTAAGGGGTAAAATATGTGTTGTACCATATACCACTGTGGTAAAATACAACTATGGTCAAGACTCCTGTTGCAGGGTTTCTTCCGTCGCAGTATTCAGAAGAACATGGTGTACACCTGCCACCGTGACAAGAACTGCCAGATCAACAAGGTCACACGCAACCGTTGCCAGTACTGCCGGCTGCAGAAGTGCTTTGAGGTTGGCATGTCTAAGGAAGGTGAGGGTTCAGGCCTCTGCCAGGCACACGGGCTCCTTGGCATTCGGCCAAGACCCACATACACCAACACAAATATAGAGACGGGACAGGAGACAGACGGGGACACGCTGATATAGGTTAGAAGCTGTGAAACAGACATACAACCCAGAGACACACAGACAAATTTAGAGTCGTGAGACTCGAGTGCCAGGACACGGAGGCATAAACAAACTGCAGATGACTGCAAACTGCCAGTTTGAGACACTTAAAGACACAAAAGACAAATAAAGTTCAAACACAAACCAATAAAGCTGGTTAGCATGGAGGTTAGAGCTCAATATGAATGTTCACTTCACAAATGGGTTTCGCGTCACAAGTTTCACCCACATCAATCCATCAACAATAGGTGTGATTTCTTTGGTAGCCCTTCCTCTAGTCACTTTATGACTTGGCACTAACAGATTTGTGTTGGAACAAAGACAATAGCCCGAGGTTGAAAGACCGAGTCTGGGGCATGTGTTTGTTCATTTGCCAGGGTCACGGCGATGATGTCACGGGGAGAGTGGCACATTGGCCCTCTATGTGTCCGCTGGGACATGTATGTGTGCGTTTATATGTATGGGATGTGTGTAGGGACCAGGATCACATTGTGCTTTTGCTATTACTGGATATCCTGAGAGGAAGGAAAGAATGGGAGGGGGGGTGAGACAAGGAGGGGAGGGGGGTTTAGGGTTGGCAGGGCTGCTCTCCCTTGGGTCAGACTCACCAAAACACCCACGGAGTCTGATCTGAGGTCAGTTTCCATGTATTAGTGATTACATTTGGAAGTTGGTATATGGTAACTTTGTGTCTTAACCAAGTAAAATAATGCAACGTGATAAATGGGTTAATGTTGATTTTGAGATTTTCTGAACAGGTCAAGAACATTTCTTGGCCATAATTTCACCTCAAAATCTATAGAAAGAAATTTTAAATAAATATTATACAATTAAATTATATTTTTGTAAATATAGGAGCATATTTTTATTTTATTATATATTATTTTAATGACAATTAAACATATTTCCCGTTGCAATTATATATTTTTATATGTTTATGTTATTTAAATCATGGTGGTTTTTGTTAGTTTAGTTTTATTTTTCAAGCAGCTTATTGCTTTTAGATGTAATAAAACAATATGAAACTGGCATTAGGATGAAAAACGCCAATGTCTGATATATTAATTGGCCTCGGTATTATATACAGTATGTGTGTATATATATATATAAGAAATACTAAGAAATATAATTAAATAAGAAATATAAATAAAATATAAATGAAGAAAAATATAAATAAGTAAAACATTATTGAAAATTAAGAATAAGTACTGAGAAGCATCACAGAAATGGTGGGGGGTGGTATATTAAACAAATTGTTGCATTGTTGCAGCAATTCTGAGAAATTAAAATCTCAAAATCATCAGAAGTTTTTTCTGGCACATCATTTTGTAGAGTTTGACTAGTTTGCATGTACAAGTTACTAAGATCATAGTTTGGCAGTTGAAGCTAACTTATTGTAGAATTATTAAGCAGCCTCTCTTTGTGACTCTCAGCTGTGCGCAACGATCGAAATAAGAAGAAGAAGGACGTGAAGGATGAGGTTGTTCCACCAGAGAGCTACGAGCTGAGTGGGGAACTGGAGGAGCTGGTCAATAAAGTGAGCAAAGCACATCAAGAGACCTTCCCTTCACTCTGCCAGCTGGGAAAATACACCACAGTGAGTGTTTTCTGAAAATGAGTGGATTTGTCAGCAATGGAATGTGGAATTTATTTATAGTGGTGTAAACAGACCATGTCAGATGTAGTGTGATAAACATGTTCCATTATTGAAAACATAATTTAAAGGAACAGTGCACACAAAAGATAAATATTGTCATTTATTCAACCTCATGTTGTTCCAAATCTGTATGACTTTTTCTTCTGTGAAATTCTTTCTGAAGAACAATCTTTTCAGTATGATGAAAGTAAATGAGCACTGAGGCCATCAAGCTCCAAAATGACAAAAAAAGAATAATTAAAGTGTAAATATAATTCATATGCTCTATTCCAACTCCAAAAGTCCTAAAGTGTGAAGAACAGACTGAATTTTTTTTTGTGCATTCTGCAAAATTTCTCCTTGTGTTCAATGTATTAAATAGCCATATGGGTTTGGAATGACGTGGATGAGTACATGATTCATTTTTGATCGAAAAATTCATTTTAACGTATATTAATGCACACATATATTAACCTCTTCTCTCTTTTTCTTTTCATCAGAACTCAAGCTCAGACCACCGGGTTCAGCTGGATCTGGGCCTATGGGACAAATTCAGTGAGCTTTCCACCAAGTGCATCATTAAAATTGTGGAATTTGCCAAACGCCTTCCGGGCTTCACCACTCTCACCATCGCAGATCAGATCACCCTCCTTAAATCAGCCTGCTTGGAAATTCTAGTATGTGTGCCTTCCTTTAAGAATCTCACCTTGATGTAGAACATGCATCTACTACATTACTTTCACATAATTCTTAGCCTCATAAATGTCTGTGTCTCTTGCAGATGCTGCGAATCTGCACACGATACACACCGGAACAGGACACAATGACCTTTTCAGATGGACTCACCCTCAACCGGACTCAGATGCATAATGCTGGCTTCGGCCCGCTCACTGACCTGGTGTTTGCCTTTGCTGGTCAGCTTCTGCCCCTTGAGATGGATGATACGGAGACTGGACTCCTCAGCGCCATCTGCCTCATTTGTGGAGGTATTACACGAATGCAATTTTGTTGCAACACTGCTGCCACCTAGAGGAAGCAACAAGAAAAATGTTAACATTATAGATTTAGCTTATATTCAGAATTGGTTTTAACCACTAAAAATGGATGGAGGTACTAGTATGCTAATGCTAATACTCTTTCTCTGTAGACCGAATGGATCTTGAGGAGCCTGAGCGTGTAGATCGTCTGCAGGAGCCCCTGCTGGAAGCTCTGAAGATCTATGCACGACGCCGCCGACCCAACAAACCTCACATGTTCCCTCGCATGTTGATGAAAATCACTGACCTGCGTGGCATCAGTACCAAGGGTCAGTTTAATAGCCAAAAACTACATGGAAATCACCTTAGCATTACTATTCTGTTTGATTTTCAAGAATTAAATCTTGATGAAAATCAAATGGGTTTTTTTTCAATGAGGCCTGAGGCCTATTCAAAACAAGAGCAGCAATATTGACAGTGTTTTTGCGCATCGATGGTATTCACACTGAGGGCAACGCAAATTTTCTCTGAATTTTTGAGAAAAGTTTGCATACTTGAGCGAAAGCAAAATGCACTCCGTCATTTACATGCTTCAATGCAAAATACAAGCCATCTGACAATCCAAGATCTGACTTGCTTCAATGCAAAATACAACTCATTTGACAAAACAGATTACTCATGCCTTAAAGGGGTCATATGATGCGATTTCCAGTTTTCCTTTCTCTTTGGAGTGTTACAAGCTGTTCGTGAATAGATAAGATCCCTAAAGTTGCAAAGACTAAAGTCTCAAACCCAAAGAGATATTCTTTATAAAAGTTAAGACTCGTCCACGCCCTCCTAAAACGCCTCATTTAAACACGCCCCCACATGTCTACGTCACTGTGTGGGAAGATTTGCATAACACCACCCAAATGTATACGCAAAGAAAGAAGGTGTAACTTTGATTCTTGCTTGTAGTATTGTTGCCGCCGCCACCATGTCGTGGAGCCGCTGTGTGTTTCGCGGTGAAAGCGAAACTACTTTGTTTGGTCTTCCAAAAGAGGACACAACTAGAAATCAGTGGTTAAGTTGTATTTACAACACTGTTCCAGAACAGTTCAACCCAAATATTCAGATGTGTGCAACGCATTTTATGGAAGACGAGGAGAGTATTTCCTGGGAGTTTCCTGGGAGAGTAGCCTACAATGCCGGTGTTCTGACAAATAATGCTGACTCGCAGTCTGTAAGTACGCTTTCATATTTAAAGGATTTGCCACTGATGATTAAAACACGAGTTTTGAGCAGTGTAGAGTAGCGCTTGTTGTTTGTCCTTTCTCCAATCACAAATGCAGACATGGATTTATGTTTACGCGGTGCGGTGCGATGCAACGCAACGCAACGCAATGCGTAAAAAGACAGTATAAGTCATTATAATCAGTAATTATGTCCCCACTGGATGCAACAAATGCCTCGTTTATAATGGGTTTTATTGGTTTTGTCTCGTTGTGCCAGGACACGGCATCACAGTATGATAAGGCGCTTACATTTCCGTCACACGCTTGAGGAATTTGGCCAATCACAACGCACTAGATAGCTGGCCAATCAGAGCACACCTCGCTATTCAGATTTATGAGCTTTGTAAAAATGTTTCAGAAAGGCGGAGCATAGAGAAGCAACAAAAATGTACAGTATGTGGAAAATAATGTGTTTTTT